TCTCTGTTTTTAAAAATGAAGAAATAGTCATGATCCTTGCCCCCAAACCAGACAAACCCTTCACTGACCAGTATGCTATTCTCCTGATTAATATCTGTGAATGTACCTCTCTCTTAGTAGGACTGTCATGTCTTTGCCTTTATCAGCTGATTCATGGAGTAAAAAATTTCGAGACCAAGAAGTGTTAACATAACGCCAAAAAAAGGACCTGGATTCTGTGGAGTTTTGTATTTAACATTTATTATTTTATCCTGTTCTTCATCCTTAGGTTTATAGATTTAAAGAACAAAAGGTCATGGGGGCAGCTAGGTAGTGCAGTGGGTAGAACCCTGGGGGCCTGGAATTCAGAAGTTATTCAGTTGTTTTCAGTTATGTCCAGCTCTTTGTGATCCCATTTAGAGTTTTTCTGACAAAGATACTGGAATAGTTTGCCATTTCCTTCTCCAGCTCATTTTACAGATGAGGAAACTGAGGCGCAAACAGGGTTAAGTGACTTGTCCAGGGTCACACAGCTAAGAAGTATCTGAGGACAGATATGAATTTAGGAAGATAAATCTTCCTGACTTCAGGCCTGGCACTCCATCCACTGTGCCACCGAGCTGCTCCAGAGTCTGGAAGACCTGAATTCAAATCCAGCGTAATAGCACCTCCCTCCCAGGGTGTTTGTGAGGATAAAATGAGATAATAATTATGAAGTGCTTCATATAGTGCTTGGCACGTAGTAGGTGCTTCATAAATGCTTATTCTCTTCCCCTCCCCTTAGGACGCCATCTAGACCAACTGACTCCTTCCTGCCCTGTCCCCGTTCTACAAATGAAAATGAATACATAATTTGTCCAAGGCCAGGATTTAAACTGGGGTCCTCTTGAGGCCAAATCTAGTTCTGTTGCTGTCGTATAGTCCCTCCTCCTATAGTGTATACATTTTAATTAGAGATAGCCAGAACAAATCTTGTTCCTGATTTTGTTTGATAATTCAGTTAAATGCTAAATGATTCTTTTGAAAGTACAATGGGTTCTATATGTCTTACATGTTTCCTTTCTGTCTCATAAATGTGTAAGGCACAAACTTTAAACATTTGTTGATAACAATGAGAGTTGTGCATTTCACTTGAGGGGTGTCAGAGAAGATGTCACAAACTCCATGCATCTTAAAGATGGCAAGGACCTGAAAGAACATCTGCTCTAACCATCCCTGGAGAGAGATCTTTGTCCAGCAGGCAGCATCTCCCTGGGGTTATCCTCCCTCCCAGTGCTAGAAGCCCTCAGATGACTTCTGGAGGTAGCCCATTCCATTCTGGGAAACTTCTCAGGGTTAGGAATTGTGTCGTTCGATCCAGTGGAAATAGGCTTCTTGACAACTTCTTCCAGTGTTCCTCCTTCTGTCCCCTAGGGCTCTTCCCTCTAATGGCCTTTCAGATACTTAAAGATGATAACAATATAGTCCAGGTGTGCCTGTTACTGTAAATTACTGCATGAAGCATAGAGTGAATTAAAGAAGACATTCAATTCATAGTCAGTAATCATGACAATCAATTGCCTATTTCTACAAGCTAATTTTTGCCTGTGCAAGCTAAGCTATGGACCCATGCTGCCTTAGCTAGAAAGAGGCTTTCTTTTACAAATTTCAATTTTTTCACTTGTGTTTTGTTTTTACATTGCTTAGATTTCCATACCTATATCCCTTCCCCTCCTTCCCAGAGAGTTGAGTCTAAGAACAAAGAGTTTTTTTTTAAGAAAAAGAGGAAAAATAGGGAAAAAATTTCAGTAAAAGCTGGCAACACAGTGGAAAAAAAAATCTGACCTTATGTGTGGAGTTCTGTACCTATAAAGGGGTAGGTGGATGATGGGGGTGGAGATAGAAGAGGTATTGAAAGGGGTACCTTTAAAACAAAGTTGACCTTTTGTGGGGAAAATATTGTAGTTCACTCTCTTGCAGACAGAACTTTTACTGAATGAGACTTAGCAATTCCTAGGGGCCCTTCTGATAACAAAGGTATTGGACGTGTGCTGCTCCAGTTCTGCCCTTTAAAGTTACTGGAGTCCCCAGGCTGGCCAGGAGTGTTCTTCTCTGAGATTTGTGTCTCTTCTGTTTGTGCTGTTGCACTTTGGTGCCGGAGCTTATGCTCTGCCATGGAGTGACCCTTGAGGTGGCTTGAATCACCTCTTACTGTTGAGGGTAGGATCTGGATTCCAAAAAGGAAAAGCCCTGGACTTTCCCACATGGCCGAATCTCTTTTGTCTGAGGCTATAATCCTATCAGCAGACCTTTCATTATTGCCTACGTCCAATCTTCCAATACTGTGTTACCCCAACCTAGCCTAGTCCTCCATTGTCTTACCTCCCTGTGCCGCCTCCCACTTCCCTACCCTTAATCCTATCTAGGCTCCATTCTCCCTTGGCCACCTGGTGTTCTCTTAACCTCCAGTCACCCCAGACTACCTGGCCCCTCTTAGATCTTTCCTACAGTTTTTCGTACATAAGGTCCATCTGGCCTCCATTGAGGTGCTCATATTCTTAAGATCTGGCCCACTTGCATTAGCCATACAAATGCTTAGATTCCTTAAGAATCTGGCCAATATGGCGGATTCTTTAACTCTCACCCACCCCCAACTGATGTTTTAATAAACCTTGCCTTTGGCTGAAAGAAGGCTTAGGTCAAATTCACTGGGCAAGACCTGCGTGTTGTGATTTTGAGGTCCCAGCACCCCTAGACCTCTAACCCTCATCATTACCACCTCTTTGCAGATTTCTAGGATAAGAAAAAGGGAGACCTTCTGAGGAAGTGCCAGTGATTTTATTTGGGCCCCAGGAGTAGGCTTTCACATTGAGTTTCCATGGGTTGTCTAGTATAAATGTAGGCACAACAGAGTGACACCTTTAAAAACAATAGCACCTTTATCGTACACTTAGCTTTAAACAGTCAAACCAGCTAAACTTACACATGTCTCAGCAGTAGTAATAATAACAACTTTCTGTAGTGCTGCAGTGTTTGCAGAGAGCTTGGTTTACATTCTCTCTTGATTCTCAAGGGAACCTTCCAAGGGAAGGGCTGCATGTTGCATTGTCCCTGGCACGCAGGCCTTCTCCAGTATGACACAGCTGGCAGCCTCTGTCCATGGTGCCTCTCACATAGGTCACTTCCACAGCGATGTGGGAGTTACTTCCCTCCTGTCGCTTTTTGTTCTGTGGGCTCTTCTGTAGTGGAAGACTTCCCTCTAGTTACTTGGTTATGATCAGTGTGTTTACTAAACTGTTCTCTTGGTTCTTTCTTGCTTAATGATACACTTTTGATCAACCCTGGAGGGGATAGGTACCTTACAAAAGCTTTACCTGCTGCATTTACTTGTAGGCTTTGCTGATGGACTTACAATTTATTGAGGAGAAAGGAAAGTTGGAAGAAGTGTGTTGAAGAGTGGAGCATGGGTGGACAGATAAGAGGAAGCCTAGAGGAGGGGGAGGATAGGTTTAAAACAACGTGTTAGAAAGTGAAGCAAGAGGGGGGTATAGATTGGTCTGGAAATAGTCAGTTTGGTTGACTCCTACCAGCAGTTGAAGTGAGCTCCTTCCTCCTATTCTTCCTCCTCCTTGGCTGAGACTGCCACTGTTGCTTCTTTACTCTCCTGCGTGGGCTGTTGGAAAGAGGAATTGGAAATGGATGCCTTGCGTACAGATGAGAATAATTTGTAATTAATGCAGTAGTGGCTAGGCCTGAAGTTTATCCTTAATTATGGAGGGGAAGGGCAATAAGAAAGGGCATAATTTATCGTGCAAGAGAAGAATGATCTTTCTAACATTTTGTAGGAAATAGTGGTGCGTGCGCTCCCTCTCTGTCTCCTTTTCTCTTACTCACCCTTCCTGTGCACATGTGCGTGTGTATGCACACATACATATATATATACATATACATACCTAGTATACACCTATCCATATATATATATATATACACATGAGTGTGCTGATGGTTGTTGTCTACTCAGAAGAGAAAAAGTATGACCTATTTTGCTGACAACTTAAAAGTAACAAAAATGGCATTTCTTTTAAAATTCAGTAGCCCTTCTCTCTTCCAGCTTTTTCATCCTACCTCCACCCCCATAACATTTGAACCTGTGAGACTTTGTACAATGAGAAGAGGAGAAGTCTCTCTTTCTCTGTCTCTTTTTTTAACCTTGATACAAGAGCTATAGGACAGGAGTTGTGGGATGATAATTCAGGCTTCTGATATAGTTGGGGGAAGGAGACATTTCAGACAGCTTCTTTCTGTTTTGTTTGGCATAGTCCTTGGAACCCAGGGTTGGTCAGTTTCCTCTTTGTACAGGCAACAGACATTCCATTTGGTTCCATGCATTGAAGGGACAGCTAAGTGTCCTGTCTAATCATTGCTGTTCTCCCAGCCCTTCCTCCATGCTGACATGTTTTCTTTTCTAACTGCAATTTGTTAATTTTCTTTAAGCACCGTCTGAGCAGGATTGAAGTTATATAATGCTCTCCTGGGTGTCAAGTGAGCTCCCTCATGTCTTTAAAAAAAATGATGTAGCTTATTTGCATTTCCTGTAAAAGTTCTATTTTTTTGTCTCCTAAAACTTGTTGCCCAAAAAATTTGCAGGAAAATAAAGAATGGTACCTGTTCTAGAAAGATCAACTCATAGATGTTGAGTTAGAAAATAGGATCAGTTACCTTTTCGTTATTGACCATTTTCCTATATAAATGAATATAGAGTTATTTATAAGCACCAAATCCTTGAAAAGTCTCTTTGGACAGTGGAATTATCTGTAGCATTTAAAAAACAAAATAATTATAAACAGTTGTTTATGTTCCATTTTTTCTGGTTTTAATTGTATATTTTTGATTCTTTTAATTTTAAAGTGATGTTAGAAATAGTATACTTTTTGCATGGTTTATTTATAGTGAAGATGTTTCTTATTGACTTAAATTTTACTAAGCTGTCCTATTTGGTACTATTAATGAATTTTTGAAAGCATTTTTTTTTCTCTTGCTAGGTTTTAATGGTACGGTTTGCATCGCTGTTTGATGCAAAGGAACGTACCGTAACCTTTCTCAGTGGAAAGAAGTATAGCGTGGATGATTTACGCTTGATGGGAGCTGGAGAGCTGCTGAACTCCATGTTTGAATTTAGTGAGAAACTAAATTCTCTACAACTCAGCGATGAGGAGATGAGTTTGTTTACAGCTGTAGTCCTAGTATCTGCAGGTAATCAGTTGATCAAGAGGCATTTTTTTTTTCACTGTGTAAATGTCAGGTTTTTTTTGGATGCAAAAACATTTTTTTTTTAACATGTGTTTTTAAAGCTTTGGGTTCCAAATTTTCTCCCTTCTTCCCTCCCCACCCACCCTCATTGAAAAGGCAAGCAACTCAATCTGCAGTTATGCAAAATATAGTAGTCATGTTGTGAAAAATTAACTCTATTTCCTTTAATCCTATTTCGCCCCCCATTTATTCTATTCTTTCTTTTGACCCTGTCCCTCCTCAGAAGTGTTTGCTTCTGATTACCCCCTCTCCCAATCTGCCCTCCCCTCTATCAATCTCCCTGCTCTCTTGTCCCCTTCTCCCCCTGTTTTCCTGTAGGGTAAGATAGATTTCCATACCCAATTGAGTGTGTATGTTATTCCCTCCTTAAGCCAAATCCTATGAGAATAAGATTCACTCATTCCCTCTCACCTTCCCCCATTCCCCTCCACTGTAAGAGCCTTTTCTTTTCTGTTTTTTTTTGGTGAGATAATTTACCCCATTCTACTTCTGCCTTTCTCCTTCTCCCAGTATAATCCTCTCTCACCACTTAATTTTATTCTCCAGATATCACCCCTTCATCTTCAACTCACCCTGTGCCCTCTATCTATCTGTCTATCTATCTATCTATCAATATATATAAATATACATACATATAATTTTTCCCCTCCAGCTACCCTAATACTGACAGAGGTCTCATGAGTTGCAAATATCATCTTTCCGTGCAGGAATGTAAGCAGTTCAACCTTAATAAGTCTTTTATGATTTCTCTTTCCTGTTTACCTCTTCATGTTCCACTTGAGTCCTGTATTTGAAAGTCAGATTTTCTATTCAGCTCTGGTCTTTTCATCAAGAATGCTTGAAAGTCCTCTATTTCACTGAATGACCATTTTTTCCCCTGAAGGATTATACTCAGTTTTGCTGGGTAGATGATTCTTGGTTGTAATCCTATCTCCTTTGCCCTCCGGGATATTATATTCCATGCCCTGCGGTCCCTTAACAACAGGCATTTCTTAGGTGCCTGCTGTGTGCCTGGCACTATGCTAGGTCTTGGGGATACAAGGATAAAGAATGAGCCAATCCCCCTCTCAAGGAGCTGAAGGGAGCATAAGGCAGGCCACAGTTTCACCACACAGCCAGGAAGACAGTGGCAGGGAGTGTCTGCTTTGAAACTGTCACCATCATAGTGAATGCCATAGCCCTGTAGCCCTCACAGGTTTGGCCATAGTCCTTACCAAGTCCTCACCCACTACTGTGTACTTCAGCTTCTGTTGAATATTTACAGCACGTTTGTAATTCTCAATCCTTATATTATTCCCGGGGGGATATAGCTTTCAAAAAACTATGTGAGTCAGACAAATGGTACTTGTAGGCATGCAGATATGATGGAGGTGTTGTATCAGTCATCTAAAAATACTGTCCCAAAGAAGAACTCTTCCTCCTTCACCTTCTCTTTCCTCCATTTTCCCATTAGAAGAACCCAGCCTCATACATAGCTGTCATTTAGGTCCCAAGGCCCCCCCCCTCCCCCCCAACTCAGTGACTTGGATGTAGCATGTGCTTAATAAATGTTTGTGGACTTGACTGGAACCTTTAAGACAAGAGATATTTTCTGCTGTGTATGAGGAAACCGAGGCACAGGTTGTACCGTGTCTGGGTCACTGAGATAAAATAATATACCTCTCTATATGCTCCATCATTAAGATTCTGTGATGTATTGGTGTAGAAAGTAGGAAATGGGGCTGATATTAATTAATCTGCAGAGGTTTATCGAGGGTCTTCTGCTGTATGCAGAGAGCTGTGGGCAGTGCAGAAGCTTGCCAGAGCTCAGGTCCCTGCTTCAGGATGGTTTCCTGGGGATGACCAGCTGCTAGACTGGCTGGATCAGTGGGAAGTGTAAGGTTCTTTCATACTTTGGAGAGTACATTTCAGCTCTGTTTATCACATACTGAGTAATTCTTGCCAGAGGTGACTGCTAAACATAAGCACCATGGTAATAGTCCCGTAGAGGGAGTCTATCCAAGGGTGCTTTATTCACCAGATAAACTTTACAAACCTCTTGTATTTTTTCTTTGTTCTTGACTGTTCTTTGGTAAGTAGTAACATTAACATAGTAACCCCACCTTCTGAAACCACAGGTTTTAGTTTGGACACAAATCCACATGTCTCCCTACAGTGTGCTGGGGTCCCTGTCCATAAGGATCTCTTGCTCTAGTATGAGAAACAAAGACAGCATAAGGCACATGTGGCACTGGGGTGCCAGCCTGTGCCCTGAGGAGACGGGACTGTGGACTGGGTTGGGGGAGGTGTCCTGAGGGGAGCCAGGCGAGGAGGAGGAGGACTGCGAGGGACCTGCAACATCGGCCCCTCCTTTTATACAGGAGGAAACTGAGCTGAGACGTTAAGGGCACATGGTGCCACTGCAGAAGGAGTATGTTCAGAATACAGTTCAAGACAGGATGTTAAGATGGCAGATGTCAGCGCACACACAGGTGGCTGCTTTGTAGGCACAGGGAGCTGAGGAAGGGAGGCTGCAAAGAGAAGTCAGGGCTGCGGATGAGGATCTGGGGATTATCTACATAGAGGTGACTGTTCCAATTTGGGTCAGAGGCATGAGCAGGGAAAGGAAATGTCTGCATATGGGAGCCTGAGGGCTGCTCCAGGCAAGAGGAGAAGGCATCAGGTCACAGGGTACATGTCTTTATGTGGGCAGCAGTGCCCCATGGATCATCCACCACCTAGCCTACACATTCAGGGTCAGTGCTGTTGTATAATCATGCTAGCCTGTGTATCAGGGACAGGATAGGATGAATACTGCCCATTGCAAAGTGTTGTCTCAATGTCTCCTATGCTGCTGCTGTGAATTCTTTATAATGACCATGTTAAAGGGTTAGATTAGCAACCTAGGACCTTTGATATGGTAGATCCCTTGGGTTTGAGAGTTGTGAGGGGCAGCCAGGCTAATGACTTTCATGGTGTTGAGGTCAGATTTGGGAGAGCGGTTCGGGTGTGAAAGAATTCACTTAGACCTTCTCTTTAGCCATTGGGAGTTTTTTATGTGAAAAAAGCATCATGGGTCTCCTTAGCAAGAAAGCTAAATGAGACCCTGATATTTGGGGGAGTTATGCTTATATAGAGATTTCAGAATGATGGTATTATAGTTTTAGAGGTTTTTATAGGGATTAAAGATTGAAGACAGGACAGGGTGAAGGAGACAAAAGGAAGTCTTTATGGTTTAAAGATTTAAGGACAGGGCAGGGGGACACAGGTTTAAAGATTAAAGGATGGGAAAACACAGGATAAGGGAGACAAAAGCAAGAAGTTTTATGTTATTTCAGGATAAGGGGAAAAGGACTTTAGGACGGCCTCAAGTTACTGGATAAGCTGCAGAATAAGCTTCAATCCCCTGGAAGGTGGGCTTCACAAAGTGCTGGAAAAGCAACCTTTAATATTCTTTTTAACCCTTAGGGCACTGTGTGTACCCACATCAGTGGGTCTCCTTTAAGTCCAGCACTAGTGTGGGGAGCCCTTCTGCAGTGAGGGCTACCAGGCTGTCTGGGGAGGGGCAAACTGGGCCAGGTTGGAAAGCTCTACTGTTAACCAGTGATAAGCCCAGGCCTGGGAGTGGCCCCTGTGCTTCTAGCCTGGCCAGGAAAGACGGAGACCAAGTCTCCAAAACAAAACCAAAAAAAGTGGCTTTTATTATTATTATTTTTTTAAAGAACACAGTGAACATTTTAATTTCTCTTTACAAGTATAAAGCATGAGTGAGCATGCTGTTGGTGAATTGTAGAGATTCTTTTTCTTTTCTTCCTTGCTAGTCATATACCAAAAGGGTCAGAAGGTGCCACAAAGCAGCTGTGCCTTGTTGGGATGTTAAACAGTTTTGTTTATTTTTGCACTGTGATGTGAAGGTGGAGGGAGAAGCTAATGTTGTCATCACTGCGGGAAAATGGCTGCATGGGGTGAGAGGCAGAGTGGCCTAGGGGGAGCTTCAGGAGACCTGGGATGCTAAATACACACACGCTTCCAAATGGAAACAGTCGTATTTAGTGATGATAGAGCAGTTTGTAAAATTAGAATATTTCATTGTATTAAGTATCTAAAGCTGTAAAGAATGCAAGTTTATTTCATTTACCAAATGACAACAGGGTTTTTTATATTAAAATGTAATGATAATGATTTTTTATAAACCCCCCCATTTAAAATTTACTTAGTTGTACAGTTAGTAAATATAAAAATTGGTTCATGTTTTATAGAACTTTTTTTTATATCATTAACTGCTACTGTATAAAGCTGGTGAGTAAGAATTAAATGCTAATACTTAATAATATTGTTTAATCTCTCTCTCCCTTCTTTCCTTGTCTCCCCTCTCCTTCCTCCTACCTCATCTCTCTCTCTCCTGTTCCTCTCTCCTCCCCTTCCTTCATACTAGATCGATCAGGAATAGAAAATGTCAACTCTGTGGAGGCTTTACAAGAAACCCTTATTCGTGCGTTAAGGACCTTAATAATGAAAAATCATCCGAATGAAGCCTCAATTTTTACAAAACTCCTTTTAAAGTTGCCAGATCTGCGTTCTTTAAACAACATGCACTCTGAAGAGCTTTTGGCCTTTAAAGTTCACCCTTAGGGCTGTTTGTTTATTTATACATGGACTGGTTCATGCAGACTGTATATTTTGTGCTAAAATGCTTATTTATAGGTTTGTACCCTGTGTGGAGAAAGAGGAACCCTTAAGACATTACATGATTGTTAGAGATCCCTGCAATCACGCAATAATACGGAGAACTTTTCAGCCACCCGGCAATGCACCTGTCAGCGTCCTCCATGACATACACCAAATCAGCTGTGTCGCTCTTAAACAGGAGAAGCTACACTGAATTATAGTCACACTGAATGTTAAGGCTTTTTTCATCTGCCAGAACCAAAAAGAATTTTCATCTCCCTGTGGTATAAACAGAACGCACAGTTAAAAGGAGGTGGGCTCTGAAGTTATCCTACTTCCATTTTGGAAATTCCAAATCACAGACCTCTGTTTCACCACCAGGCAGGAAGGGTGACCTCATGAATGGAGAACTGAGCTCCGTGGGTTGTCCCTGGCCCTGCCACCAGCGGGCTCCTTGGGATGCTAAGCAAGCCACTTAATTCTTTAGGCCTCAGCCTCCTCATGTGGAAACTGAGGCAAATAGCTCCTTTGCCTGCTTCACAGTGGCATCGTGAGGATTAATTTGAAAATGTCTGTAAAGCATATTTACCTCCTGGGAGATAGGCACTATGTAAATATAGTATTATTTTTCTTCTTACTCATAAATAACTTTTTTGGAATGATTTCACAGTCCACACCAACTCATTATTTAGGGCACATGCAATGTGTATGTATAGCAATACACACACATTGCATGTTTATGAATATATGAATAACATAGTTTTGTGTACAGATATGTATGTGAATATAGTTTTACATATTTCTTCACAATATTTTAAACTGTGAAGAAGTTTATCATACAAGAGGTTTAAAAATAGAGGTATGAAAAGAATCAAATAGGTACTTACTGCCTACTGATTGATGATCTAACCATCACTTACAGATGTTTTGATGTTATCAGAGGGGATTTATGCTCTATTTTTGTTAATTTAAAGAACACATAATGTAAACATGCAACAAATAAGTCCAACCCTAAGTAATATATTTTAGAGTCTGCCTTTGGGAGAAGAGAATTAATTGTCTAAGGTACTAGTTCATTTAACAGCCCATGTAGCTGAGATTCCAAGCTTGAGCTGATAAAATTCGAGCTCCTGGCCACTATTCACATACTGTAGCACTGCTAAAAAAAAAAAAAAGACAGAAAGAAAGAAAGAAAAAAAAAGTAGCAGCAAAGTGGATAAGAATGTTGGTTCTTTCTACAGAACTAATAACCTGTAGTTTAAGGAATGTTGTATTTAATATATTAATAGCATATTTTCCATATTCTGAGACCATTTTTTTACACTACAAAGAATTTTTTGTTTTATTATTGAGTAGGGTTTAAATCCAGAATCAGAAAGTATCAATCCAATGACCTAACTTGACCTTCTCTCTGCTGTGCACATCCAGACTTAGAGGGAGGTGGTATGTGCAGGACATTTGGAATTTGTTAACTCCGTTTTGTAAAAATGTCCTCTCATTTGCAGCAATCAGGAAAATTGCCCAGTGGGAGGTGCTAATTTGTGTTTCTGTTCTCCCTTCCCTGTCCAGAAAAGAGTCACTTAGTGATGCTCTGTGAAAAGGAGGTGTCTATCCCCTTTGTCATTTGTGAATTGTATGGTATTGTGAAAAGACGAAAGGAGTCCAGCTTACTGATATCAGCGCCTGTTACTGTTGTGTAATGTGAGCAAAATGCCTTATTTTATCAAAGTCTCGTCCTTGCTGTAGAGCATTGCGACTAAGATTTGAATTGCTGCCACACTCCTGCTTAACTAAGTGGGGGAGAAATCCAAGCCCTTCCATTCTCCAAGGCTACAGATGGTGGTGACATCTCTGATACCATCTCTCTAAACCATAATTGGGATTTACCTTTGTCTGGGTATAACTTTTATGGACTATCTAATGGAGTTTCTGTGAATTCTTTACATGGTAGCATTATCTTTTTGAGATTTCTTATTGTTTAAGATATCCAGGGACATGATTTGCTTTCTTCTGTGGGAGTAGACACAGCTTTTTGGGGTATATTTGGAAAAAAAATAGAAGGTCAAACTAATACCCAATTTTTGCCTTTTGCATATGCCTCTTTATCTCATGTATCTTAAAAAATGATTAAGCCTTTAGAAATGTATAACCAGAACTGTGTAAGTATTGCTTATTAAAATTTTAGTTAGGTTCAATATATACATACATCTATATATACATATATATATATATAGGTATATAGATACATATTTTGTCTTGTGACATTTTATTTGAATGAATTCTTCCTGTAGATGATGGGAAATGAATGGAGAGTTCATATGAAAAAATAAGGTGGCACTCACAGCACTTCTGTGTTGGAAAATGATCCATATATTGAAACCTCGAATTCCAAAATTAAGCCAGCAGTGTTTTTACAAGCACATTCTTTTACCAAGTCACTGGTCATACACTACACTTATGAAATGCTGAGAAGACGACTGATGTGGACAGACAACTTTCTCAGTTGGTAGAACGTGGCTGATTGACTAAATGATGTACTGTATGAGTTCAATGACATTTTAATTCTGCTTTTGCATTTTAAGAAACAATGGGCATTATGTCAGCAAACCAAGGGCATTCATTATGTCAGCAAACTAAATCTTGTCTGTGCTTTTCATGTATCCTTCTAAGACCCTGGGTGTGGGGGGGGTCAGCTTGTAGACAGAAGAGGCTGAGGAAAAGGGCACACCCTGTCTTCCTGGGGGGCACTGTTTCTTAAAGGGGGAAGGAAGGCAGGTAGTAAATTAATTACAAGTTTAAAAAACTTCTGAGCAGGTAATGGATATGGGTTAAGTGTTTATCTTTCAAATCTACATTTCAAGAAATTAATGTAACCTGATAAGATCTGATTTATTTTCTGTAAACATCATCTAGACTTATTACTGTGCACGAGAGTAACTGCTTATCTCCATTGTTATGTTTCTTTTCCAGTATCAAGTTTGCTGAATGTAAAAGAAGAGTTTATCACTTAGGATATAGAATTTTTTTTTAGGGGGGGAGGGAGGAGCATCTTGAAATCATGACTGACAAACAAGGAACTTGTCTTCATATGATCCAGAATAAAACTTGAAGCTATCCTTGCATTAAAAAGAAAACAAATGGTTTTGGGGTGTTTTTTTTTTTTAATGAGAGATGCATTATTGTAGACAGGACACAGGTTCAGTTTATTGACAAAATGATAACTGATGAGGGCATGGACAATATCTCATCCTGTGTTTCTGAATAGTAGCCTGTACATGGGATGGGGCGGATAATAAATAATGATTTCTAACCAAGTGTTTGGTTTGGGACTTTCTGGTTCTTTTTCTTTTCTTTTTTTGTGAAACCATTTGTAATTGAAACTTATCGTCTAACACCTACATCTTGAGCACAGGAATATCTAAAATCCTTTAAGTGTTGAAGTCGACAAAATAGTCAATAAACATTTATGAAGCACCTCCTATATACCAGACACTGTGCTAAGTGCTGGGGATACAAAAAAAAAAAGCCAGTCCCCACCCTCAAGAAATTAACGATCTAACTGGGAAAGACGGCACACAACAGAAAACTGGGGGTGAGGGGAGGTATCTGGCATGGGGGCGGGGGCACGTGATGGAAAGAGGTCTGAAATGAGAGGTGCCAGTGGATCTGGGAGGAACCTCAGAGACAGTTGAGCTGAGTATTGTCAGACTCAGAAATGGAGGTCGCTAACCCATACATAAAGATCCTTGCAGGGCCTGTATTGACTTCTGTGTTGTATTTTTACTAATTTTGTTACATGTTTTCCAATTATATTTTAGTATGATTCCAGGCACCCTTGGGTATGTTGGGGATTGTGTGTTTTGACAGCTGTGATCTAGCCCCTTCCTGCCCCCATTTTACAGGTGAGGAAACTCGGAGGAAAAGTGACTTACTCAAGATCACACAGCTAATTCGATAGCTGAGACTTGAACCAATGTTATCTGCCTCCAAAGTCCCCTATTCTGAACTATGCTCGGCTGCCTCTCTTACGTAAAGGTTGTTCCTCCCTATCCAAGTTTAAATCCCAGCCTTAGGGGGTCTTGGTTCCCTCATTTATAAAATTAGAGGGTCACATGACTACTTGCGTCCTGAGATCTCTACTGTCTCTAAAGCTTGGCCCTTAGGATCCAGTCCTGGCAAAATGAAAGAGTTTGGTGGCAGTTCATCATTTCATATGAAAATGCCATTAAGGAAAAATGATTTTGTTGGCCTTCAATCACCTGCTTAAGCTATCAGCTAGAGCATCACCATACCTGGTGGATAGTTGATTTCATTTTGCTTAGGCAGACCCAACCCATTGAGAAATGCAACATCAGCAGAAAGGCCTTTGGTTTGCAGAGTTAAGGGGGATATTCATTTCTAAGGTTTGATTTTAAGCCCTAGACCAGAATTGATGTGGGTTGAAATTTGTTCTGAGTTTTTCTGAGTGTTTAGGAGGCCTTGGCTCAAGCTTTCTTAGCCAGGGTGCTAATTGCCAGTTAAACACCCATATTCTTTTTGTAGGAGTCGGTCATAGAAATCTCTCTATTATAATTGTATAAGAGAACCAACTTTGGCAGGGGGTTATCCAGACTGCTTCTTCAACTGACCTGTGATGACAGGACAAAAAGGATTTTGTGAAAACTCATTCTCAGAGTTTTTGATGTATTCTCAATTTAGGTCTTGGTAGAGAGCAGGATCAATTCCTTCAGAAAGACAGTTTGGATACAGACTCCAAAAGACAACTCTCATGTGCCCAAGTGTTTCTTTTAGGCTTTCTTAGGCAATGAACTTGACTATTCCCATCATTCTTAATTAAGCTTTGGGAAGCCAGTGCTGGGTCTTTCTCCTTTTCTGTTTCTTCACAATTTTTCTTTTAACCTCCTATTCTTTAGGTAGTCTCACCTAGTATGTTTTCATTCCATTTACTTGACTATTGCTCAGCTTGTTAAGTTTTCCCTCTAATTATTTTTACATTACACCTGTCTCTAATTTTCTCATTTGTGTGCCCCTGTTTCCTCAATTTTTCTGTCTCCTGCAACTGGCACATACAAGAATGGTAATTCTCATCAATGAGAAGCTTACTTTCATTCTCCTGATCAGTAATTTGATACTAATAAATATTCTGATGTTGATCTAAACTATTCAGCAGGAGCTGCCTCTGAGCCACGAAGGATGCTAGGCACCGTGGGCTTCCCCTTGTGTCAGCTGCTCTGATAGCGCTCACGGTTTTATCTATAACAGGACTTTGCAGTAGGTGGATAGGGTGGTGGACAGAAGATAGAACTACTCGCCTGTTATTTTTCTTTCATTTTCTTTGCCGTCGAGAATCATTGCTGAACTGGAAAAGGTAGAACAATGACTACCGATACGTACAGAGATCGTAAGAAAGAAACCCATTGCTTTTGGTCAATGAATGAACAAGTATTTGCCTCCTATGTTCTAGGTGCTGGGGTTAAGTTCAGGTCACTAGGCCTGGGTTAGTGAAATAACTGGCCGGGAGATCAAAATGCTGAACCACGCAGTGATCTTTGAAAGGGTGTGGAGAATGGGAGAAGTGCTATAGGCATGGAGAAAGTCAAATGTTCCTTCTTGGAGACAGGAAAATAAAAGAGTGAGTGCCCAACCATGGTCCTCTTCTACTCCCCACGAAAGTGGAAATCGAAGTCTCCCAGGAAACAGGCCAGATCCCAGATCCCATCTGTCTAAATACATCATTGCAATAAGGCCTGTCCCAGATCCCATTGGCTTAACTTTGCATAGTTATCTCCATTAGATAATGTCATAAGTAGTTAAGCACGAGGCCCGTGTCAGTGGTCTTCCATTATCACGTGGCTTTCGTAGGATGCCATGTGTTGCATGGCCCTATGACATGAGCTGATCCACATTGGCTGTGCAATATTATTGTTTTTTTTCTTTACTGTATGGGGGCTGTGATGAGCTGGCAGGTTGATGTAGTGGAAAGACCCCTGCCTTTGGAGTCAGAGGACCATTTCTGTTTCTGCTACTTACTATCTATTACTGTATGACCTTGGGCAAGTCACTTTCCTTTGGACTTCAGTAAAATGAGCCAGAGCTACATAATTTCTAAGGCTCTTAATAGCTTTAAATTCATGATCTAATTATACTAGGAAATGGTAAGGGGCTGGCCAGGGATTCTACTAGTGTAGTTACTGGTTTGTACTAATACCTAGTAGAGTTTACTAGTATAGTTAACCTTTCTGATGAGAAAACTCCCTTCACCAATGCAGGACATCACCTTCTCTGCACCTTTTGGTCTTAGAGGGTTATCTAAATTTTTTTTTTTTGGGTTAGGCAACGGGGTAAAGTGACTTGCCCGGGGTCACACAGCTAGTAAGTGTTATGTGTCTGAGTCCAGATTTGAAGTCAGGTCCTCCTGAATCCAGGGCCGGTGCTCTATCCATCGCACCACGTAGCTGCCCCCCTTAGAGGGTTATCTAGAGCAAAAAGAGGTTAGGTGACCTGCCTGGGGTCACACAGCCATTATGCATCAGAGGCAGGGCTTGAACCCAGGTCTTCCTGGCTCTAATCTGACTGTATCCTGCTTTTCTAGGGTAGTGAGTACTGTAACAGTACTCTGACCCCAAACAATTGAGCATGTGGCCTAAAAGTATTATAAACCAATGAACAAAAGCTGTGAGCATAAAGATGTTTCTAGCAACATTGTTGTTAATTATTAAAAACCAGCAGCAACTTAAATGTTCAGTAGTTGAGGGGTGGTTAAATCAACTGTAGTTCTCTAATATAATGGAATATTCCACTACTATCTCTCATTATCATATCAATAATTATCAGTATTATCAATGAAAATGAATTTCAAATCAATGAAATAATGAATAATAATGAAATTAATAAACAATAAAAATAACCAATGAAATTAATATCAATAAGTATGAGAAAAAAAGAAATTTGGAAAGACCTTTAGAAAATAATCCAAAGTGGAAAAAAAGCAGAACTAGGAAGAGAACACACTAACCAAAACCAGAGAACAAGTGAACAGGAATGTTCAGAGGCAGGGACTGAGAAGTTAAAATACTTTATACATTTGAATTAATTTAAATATAACTGTCATTAGTAAATTTAGTTGCATTGATGGCCATTATCAGGTATTTAATAAATCATTAAAAATCTCTTGCATCTAAGATATGATTTAGAGGCAGAAAAGGCCAGATAGTCACACATTTCATTCACTAATCTAAAAATTTTGCAATTAAAAATGTTTTTCTCTCTCCCAATAAAAAATAAAAACAACTTACATCCAAAAATTTTTCAGTAAAAGAAGAAAAAAATAGGGAATTTCTCATTTCTCCTGGTCATCACATCTTTAGGCTTATACTATGGTATCCTCGGATGTCCTAGCAGGTACCCAACTGTCCCGGGACCACCCAGGGCCCTTGCCTTGGTTCCCTTTCTTCTTTAGGCCTCCCATTGCCTAGTGAATATTTAAGGAGCACTCCCATCTCCCACTCCTCCTCCTCTACCCAACAATTCAGTGCCCAACTTTGCAAGTTTACATAACTGAATTTTCCAAGTAACTTGGAGATTGCCAGAAAAGACACATGCATCTTCTTGCCTCAGTGGCAGTAATTGCCTTCTGCCCCAGAAGGATCTGTTTTCTTATTGTCTCTGGTGAGAGCCAGAGTAGGGCCTGGTTGGTAGAGATAGACCAGCTGATCTCAGGAATGGGGCCTGTGTGCTGAGCTACCTGGTAATGGAATGTAAGTCAGGGAGAAGTGGCCAAAGATGCAGGATGGCCTGCGGGGGACCAAAGCAGGGGTGGCAAGGATTTTACACACACACACACACACACACACACTCTTACATCCACACATACCCACACACTTGTTTCTCCCCTCTTCTCTCCTTTACACATGTTAGCTGGAGGCAGGACCTGTGTTACTGTCTTCCTTGCATATAAGTCAAGCTCTCTGAGCCTCAGTTCTTTCATCTATAAAATAAAGAGATGAGATTAGATGGTTTCTAACATTCCGTCCCCCTCAAAAGTCTATCAATTTATTTATTAAAAAAAAAACTTTGGACAATTGAGAATTAAGTTACTTAGATAATAAGAAAATTTACTGCATTGGTCGAATGATCTCTTCCCTTCCTATGCTAGAACTATTGATCTAGACCTCTGATTTCACCGGTGAGAGGACTCCCAGGCAGGGAACTCTCTCTGCCAGTGCAGATATGCATCTGTTCTGTAATTTCTAACCTGGGAGGCAGTGTCAGGAAGTGATTTACCCAGGCTTAATCATAAAGTCATAGACTTAGAGCAGGAAGGAACCTTAAAGACTAGCAAGTCCAACTGCTCATTTTAAAATGAGGAAACAGCCTTAGAGAGGTCAGCTGATTTCTCCCCCCCCCCATCCACACAATTAACTTGTAATAAAGCAACAATCTGAACCCTTGTGGCATGGTGGATAAAGCTTGGAATCAGGAGGACTCATCCTCATGAGGTCCAGTCCAGCCTCAGATACTTCCTAACTGTGTGACCCTGGGAAAGTCACTTAACCCTATTAGCCTCAGTTTCCTCGTCTGTAAGATGAGCTGGAGAAGGAAACGGCAAACCCCTCCAGTGTCTTTGCCCAGAAAGCCATGGACACAACGGAAATGACTCCACGACAACAGTCATAGCAACCTCCGACTTCACGTCTGGTACTCATGAAATACACAATGCAGAACTCAGGGGCAAATTCGAAAGGTCACCGGGTGGCCAAAATAGCTATCATCGTGCTCAGGGGCTTTAGTGCCAAGTAAACCACTCAAGTCACCATTCAGAGCTAAGCCGTTCTGAATTTAGGCACGATTCTAAGAGACTTGGTTATCTGGTCTCCATCAGCGCCTTGATAACATCCAATTAGGACGGGAAAGGACTGCTTAGGAAGTACATGCAGGGGAAAGAACATGGGACGTGGGGTGTCAGAAGGCCGGGGGTAGTGTCCCAGGGTTACCATTACTGGCTATGTGACGTTGAGAAGGCCTGCCACGGCTGCCTCATTGTCCCGTTGCTTCCCTGAAGGTGGGATAGTGCTTCCGTAATTTCATTGTAATGTGCTATGTAAATGTGAGTTAGCACTATTGTTAGGCACAAGGGCCCCAAGAAGTGATAGCTCACAGCATTGCCAGCAAGGAGAACTGGGGAAAACCATAAAAATTCACAACGGTCTGAGGGAATTTAGTGGGGGTGCAAACAACCCTACACGCTGCCGTGGCCCCAGAGTTCGTTGCCATGTTACGGTGTACGTAGAAACTAATGCTCGTAAGGCGACCGCGTCTCGTGAAAAAATAGGCACTGAAGGGTTGCATATTTTGTTTGAACGAATACGGATTAGAGTCCTGGCCCGGTACTGGCTCTCTGGTCCCCATCCAAGCACTCAAGGAGTCTGGAAGTAAAATGCTGTAAAAATGTTCTTCAATCAGTCAGTACTTACTAAGCGCTACGTGCCAAAGTGTGCCGCACACAGAAAGTGCTTAATATATGTTCCCTGGATTTGAGGATGAGCATGTAAACAATCTTGAAGCTCTGCTGCCATTTTCTTTGATTAACAAAATGATGCCTTTCATTTGTAGCTTATAATGATTTCTGGAACTTGCTCTCCCTTCCTTGTAACAAAGAAAAACAAGTGAAAACAGCCAACATGGTGACCAGGCATGGGGAGAGAGGCACACAGAAGCAACAGCTGGAGTGCCGCGACTGGCGATTGGACTGCACCACAGAACAGCCTGAAGAGGAAGAACGTGAAATTAGACTGAAAATGGAGGCTGGGACCAGACTGTGAAGAGATTTCAGTATGGAATTTTATCCTTGTGGCAATAAAGAGCCATCAAAAGTGCTGGTGTTAGAGTCGCCCGCATGGTCAGACTCATGCTTTAGGAAGGTTATTTTTGGCACCTTTTGCAGAGAACGAATTATGGGAGAGAGAGCATAGCCTGACTGGGAGATGGGGAGGGTCTGAGCCACACTGGTGGTGGTGTGAGAGGAGAGGAGATGGATGTGAGAGGTGTTACGGCAATTGATTGGCTGTGGGGATGGAGAGAGAAGGATGATACCAACGTACCCGGTGCCTGGAAGCATGGATATGGTCTCACCAGAAATAGAGACATTAGGAGGAGAGGTGGGTTAACGTGAGAAGATCGTTAGTTCGGTTATGGATTTAATGAGTTTGGGATACTCACAGGACATCTGGTTGGAGACGTCTAGCAGGAGCTGGGGGCTAGATATATAGGACTGAGAGCCATTTGCTAGAGGTGGTCACTGAACCCTTGGGAGGTGATGATGAGATCTCGGAGATGGTGCCTGTATGTATTGCTGGTCTTGGACAGTTTAAACAATGAATCCTGTTAAGGGCTGTATTACTCTAATTCACCTTGCTTATTTTCATTGGGCTGGATCAATGACCATATTTTATGTAATCTTAACTTCAAGTAGTGCATGCAACTACTCCATGAGATCCATTATTTGCACTAATTAGGACCCAATTCTAGTGTTCTCTCTCAATTATATAGTTTATATATAGCCTTTGTCTCTTTTTCTTTCTCTTTTAATTCTATATAGCTACATATAAAATCTATAGTATAGACTATTTACATACACTATATATAGATGCTCTCTCCCTATATGTGTGTATGTATGTATATTTACATACACATATACATATGTGTATGTATAAGCATTTCTTTAGAGATCGAGAGACAGACTGACAAGAGTCAGAGAATATGAGAGAATTCAGGACCTGGTAGTCCTGCTGTAGGTTGGGAATTGCTCAGTCCTGCCTCCCGGTGCCCTCATTTTTTGTGAATATTCTTTTGTAGCCCAAGAGCAGGTTTGGCATCGAGACCTTTCACAAAGTTGTTTGCTTTTTCTTCCTTTTCTTTGCTGTCTGAAAGGGTCTGAAAAGCCCAACCTCCCCCAACCTCCTCCAAAAAAACAAAAAACCCTCTTTCATTCAAACTCAGGGAAGGATTCCTAAGCAAGTGCCTTCTTATTTTTTAGCTCTCCATGTCAGACACTAACAAGCTGATAATCGTCCATTGGAGGTACCATACTCTATTTGCTCAGGATTTTCCATTGTTGCTTTTGAATTTAGGAGGCTGGGGAATTGCAGGTTGCCAAGGGAGCACACACAATGGTAGGATGCCTCAGCCTTAAAGAGACAGAAACCTCATTTTCTTTTACTTCCTGAGCCCTGTTGCTGTTACGAAGCAGCTGCTTCCCCCCATCCCCCACTCCTGGCTTACTTTCCTCTTCTGTGGTTTGGATGTTTACCAGGTCCCTGAATGGTCTGGTGTTGGGAGTTAGAGAATCTGGAGCTTTGAACTTGAGTTCACACAAACCACTAAGTTCTGGGTTTGCGAGCAGCACCAGGACGCCTGCTGGAGATGGATGGACCCGAGGAGGAAGATTCTTTGTGCATTTGGGGAAAGGAGTGGTTTGGCTCCAGCCAAAGCCATTGTCCTGGGATCAGAGCAAAGTTTCTGAACAAATGAAAACTTTTTTTTTTCAGGTGGGCACCAAAAAAATCTCCAAAGACAATAGAAGAAGGCGTCCTCGGAGATGCCTGACTTCTGAGAAGTCAGGGAAGCCTAGTGGTGTGAGGGGATTTCTATCCATAGTATTATTAGGGTAATCTCAGAAGAGCTAGTGTAGGGAGGGGAAGGAGTGTTAATTTAAAGTCAGAAGGTGTGACTTGGAACCTCAGTTCTGGCAGTTACCAACTGTTATCTTCTGCCATTTTATCTTCTGGGTCTCAGTTTTCTTATCTGTAAAATGAGATTAGTCTACATGATTCCTAAATTTGCTGGGTCTTATATCTAGAGCCGGAAGAGAGCGTTTGTCCCAATTTCTCTCATTTTACAAATAAAGACCCTCTTCCAGGTGGGAAGGTGACCTGTCCAGGGTCACACGGGCAGGTAGCAGGTGAGGTTTTGGCTCCCAAGCCAATGCTCTTGGTTCAGCCTCTCCATTTTATAGATGGCCCAGAAAGGGGAGTGGCAGAGGCAGGATTTGCCCACAGGTCCCATGATTCCAGGTTCATGCTTCAGCTCCAGAGCCTATGATGGATAGTAGATCTTCCCATAGCCACAGAATGGTGTCTGCGTTTGATCATAAAGCTCATTAGAAAAAAGGTTCCCAAGATCTGGTTACCAGACATATACTCCAATGAGTAATTGCCATCCAAACAAAAAGTATTTATTTAGTGCTTGCTAGGTGCCAGGCTCTAGGAATAAGGATACAGAAGTGAGCCTTCAAAGGGTTTATGTTCTCACTGAAGGAAGACCACACATGTAGGGTCACCAGAGAAATGAGTTCTGGGGAGTTGCAAGGATCCATTTTGATCCATAGGCCTGGCCTTTTCCAAAGGAAGTGGCATTTCCTTCAGTAAGCTAATTTGAGAGGAAATCTAGGACCAAGTAACTTTAGGCGGCTTGGTAAAGAGATTAAAAAACAGAACAAAATACAATAAAACAGCCATAGTTGCCTGCAAAAATCCAAAATACTTGAGACTAGCTGTCTTTTAATATTTTCTTTTTAAATGGACGTAGCGCTCCTTCGCAGAATCTCAGAGCTGAAAAGGACCCGAGAGGCTGTCTATGCCAAACCTTAGCAGCGAAAAAATGTCCTCTATGATGTGCCCAGGAAGCGATCACCTCCCACCCCCCAACTCACTACCTTTCTAAGCAGCCTGCTCCACTTTTGGCTAACTTCGTTGTTAGGAAGTTTTTCCTTATGTCAAAGGGAGAAGTAGTTTTTACTTATATCTCATATATATACATATATACACGCACACACATATATTTTATACATAAACATATATTTATATTTATATATTTATTTACCTATATCATATATATTTACGCATAAACATTATTTATTTCTTACTGTTGCTGTTGTTTAGTTGTTTCTGACTCTTCATGAACCCATTTAGGGTTTTCTTGGCAAAAACACCCGGAGTGGTTCGCCATTTCCTTCTCCAGCTCATTTTACAGATAAGGAAACTGAGGCAAACAGGGTTAAGTGACTTGCCCAGCGTCACACAGCTAGTAAGTATCTGAGGCCAGATTTGAACTCATGAAGATGAGGTGTTCTATCCAGTTCAGCTGCCCAAATATGTGTGTGTGTGTGTGTGTATGTATATATATATACACATATATGTATGTATATATGTATATATACATACATATGTGTATATATACACACATATGTATGTATATATACATACATATGTGTATATATACATATATATGTATACACACACATGTATGTATAGATAGATAGGTAGATAGATAGATAGGTAGATAGATGCCTCGTTGTAAATTTGCCCTCCTTGTAGCCTCTGGGCCCTGGCAGAACAACTCAATCCCCCTTCCTCGCCACAATCCTTCAGATCCTTGACGACAGTGCTCATTTCCTCCCTAAGTCTTTTCTTTGCCAGGTTGTGCATCCCTAGTGCCTTCAGCTGGTTCTCATATGAATATGCCTCGCCTCTCCATCTCGGGCATTGCTCTTCAGAGGCTGGCACCGAGAACCAAACACAGGGCTCTAGATGTGGCTCCAACCCAGCTTAATTTTAGAAAAATTCACATTTCTTTCAGCAGTTAAAGTTTGCAGGGTATTTTCTTTGCAAGGACCCTATCAGCCAGGTGGCACAAATTTTATCATTATTTCCATTTCATAGACGAGAAAGCTGAGATTCTGAGGCTGAGTGGCTTGCTCACAATCACAAAATAGTAAGTATTTTAACTTTGACCATGCTGCATTTCAGTGTGGCATATGGTGCCCTTGAGATCCACTCTAGGGAGCATATCCTGCCATGAGAGAACGGGTAGTGGAAAGAACCCTGGCTTTGGAGGTAGAGAACCTGGGTGGGATCTGAGCACTTGCTGTTTATTAGTGTTGTCACTTAACATCTTTCCTCTTTTCCTCCATCCTTGCTCCCCTCCCCCACCCCAGTTTCCTCACCTGTTGTATGAAAGAGTCAGACCAGATTATCTCCAAGGTTTTTTCCAACTCTAGATCCGTAATCCTATGATCCATTCTGCCTGAAACGCCCTCTTTCATTTCATTAAAAGAATGGGCATAATTTAGAAGTGAAATTTGTTCACAAGGCATCAAACCAGAACTTGGCAGCCCTGAGTTTGAGCCATCTCCAGTTCTGCCTTCTGACTTGCTGTGAGCCTCTGATAATCACTAAAATCTGTATCTGATCGTCTTCATCCATAAAATGGAAATGTAATAATAAAATGTTAGAGCAAGAAGGAAACTTAGGGGTCATCTCGTCCCATCTTATTATTTTTCATATGGGGAAACCAAGGCTCAGGGAGAGGAAATGTTGCTGCACAGCTAGTCATTGGCAGAAGGACTAAAATCAGAGGAGGGGGCAGGCTGGAGGCCCTGGAGAAGTTCTCCTCTGGGCTATAGTTACTCTGTGTCGCCTGGCAGCTTCCTACTTTAACTCATTATTTTTACTAAATAGCTACTAAACGTATTTCTTCCCCCGCCCCTACACTGCTGGAGAGACCTCTAAATTCTTCAGCTCTTTTCTGTTCTATGGAAGCATCCTCTAAATTCTGGCACAAGTACTGTCAGCACCTTCCAAATTTCGGTGCCCTGGATCAAAGCTCTGATTGCCTTGTCCTAGCTACAGCTCTGCTGTTAGATCCAAGATTATATCAAAAGCTGCTCAGTGAAGAAAACCATCTATCATCTAGAGAATTGGTTGGCAGCATTTGCAGCTGGGAGGACTGGTTTGGTTGGATTAAAATCATTGAATAAGTTTTACATTTAGAATAAATCTTTTTTTTTTTTTTGGTGAGGCAGTTGGGGTTAAGTGACTTGCCCTGGGT